AGGATTTTGTTCGCTTTAGAAACCCGCAGCTTGGCATTGCATGCCATTATTAAGCTTGTGATCTACCAGAACCCCCAGATCCTTCTCCACCATTGATTCCCCCAGTTATACCCCCCCTAGTATGTATGATGCATGCATATTCTTAGTCCTCAAGTGCAGAACCTTACATTAATCAACATTAAACCTCATTTGCCACATAGTTGCCCAATTACACAGAGCATTGAGGTCGGCTTGTAAGTTGGAGACATCCTGTAAGGACGTTATTCCTGAAAAAAGACAAATGTCCAACCAGTTCAACCATAAAAAAAAAAGTTATAATCCTACACCCACAGTTGATCCAGAGGAAGGCAAAAAACCCAGCAAAGCATGTTCCAATTTGCTCCTTCAGGGAAAAAATTCCTTCCTGATCCCCCCGAGAGGCAATCGGATATTCCCTGGATCAACTTTACCTATAAATGTTAGTATCCAGTTATATTCTGTGTATCTAAGAAAGAATCCAGGACTTTTTTGAAGCAATCCACTGAGCTGGCCAGAACCAACTCTTGAGGGAGTCTATTCTACATTTTCACAGCTCTTACTGTGAAGAAACCTTTCCATGTTTGGAGATTACATTTATTTTCCTCCCAGACGTAAAGAGTGCCCCTTGTCCTCTGTGATGACCTCAGGGTGAATAACTTTACACCGAGTTCACTATATTTATACATGTTGATCATATCCCCCCTTATGTATTATACATGGAGATCATATCCCCCTTATGTATTATACATGGAGATCATATCCCCCCTTATGTATTATACATGGAGATCATATCCCCCCTTAATCTCCTCTTCTCAAGAGAGAATAAATTCAGTTCCTCTAATCTTTCCTCATAGCTGATCTCCTCCATGCCTCTTATCAGTTTGGTTGCCCTTCTCTGTACTTTCTCCAGTTCCCCAATGTTCTTTTTGTGAATTGGTGCCCAAAACTGAACTGCATATTCCAGATGAGGTCTTACTAATGATATGTATCGGGGAAATGATATCTCTCTCTCTGGAGTCTATACCTCTTTTAATACAAGAGAGGATTTTTTTTTCGCTTTAGAAACCGCAGCTTGGCATTGCATGCCATTATTAAGCTTGTGATCTACCAGAACTCCCTCATCCTCCACCATTGATTCCCCCAGTTAACCCCCCCCCCCCCCAGTATGTATGATGCATGCATTTTCTTAGTCCCCAAGTGCAGAACCTTACATTTATCAACATTAAACCTCATTTGCCACATAGTTTCCCAATTACACAGAGCACTGAGGTCGGCTTGTAAGTTGGAGACATCCTGTAAGGACGTTATTCCACTGCACAGCTTGGTGTCATCTGCAAAGACTGAAATGGGCTTTTTACTCAGACCCTATATTGTTTTTAAATATATTAAAAAGTAAGGGTCCCAACACTGAACCCTGGGGTACACCAGTGACAACCCTAGACCATTCAGAGTATAAGTCATTAACCACTACTCTCTGATGGTCCAAAACAAACTAGAAAAGCTAAAAGTAAATAACTCACCAGAACCTAATGGCCTACACCCATGAGTCCTCAGGGAGCTTAGCTCAGTTATAGCCAGACCATTATTCCTGATATTTAAAGACACTTTATTTGATGTGAATGATACCAACTGATTGGTGCTCAGCAAATGTGTTCCCAGTTTTCCAAAAGGGGTCTAGATGTATACCAAGGAACTACAGACTGGTCAGGTGTTTGAAGGTATGCTAGGGTAATAACTAACATTCATTTTTGAATGCCGCATTTGTCAAACCAATATGTTGGCATTTTATGAGGAAGTAAGCAGTAAATTGGATAGAGGTAAGGCAGTAGACAATTTATTTTGATTTTGCAAATGTATTTAACACATGCTCCACAATCACTTAATTTACAAACTGAGGTCTATAGATGGGGATGCAATTGTATATTCATGAATAAACAAGCTTGCTTCAGGAATGGGAACAGAGAGTAGTGGATAATGATTCAACCTCTAAAGCCAGCCATACAAGGATCGAAATTTGGTCAGCTCAGCAGGGACCAGCCAAGATTCGATCCATGTATGGGCAGGCTGACTGTACCAAAGTGAGTCTATCAACTGACTTGGGTATAACCAGCCTGTTGGGTTTTTTTTTTTTATTCGATTACTGCCGACAGCTAAATAGCCACTAGCCGTAATTATTGTGTTCTGCCAGCCAAGAAGGCTCCCCACGCCAACCGTGGTGGAAGGAAAGAAAATTGAGCGATCTATGGGCTTAAGTGGTCTAAGATGGAGATCGGTGTGCCAAAGGGGGTTATTTATGGTTAGAGCAGAAAAATGTCATAGTTGCTTGGCAGTGCAGTCAGCTGGGAATGTTGAGAATTTCACGGCACAGTGCAAGGGGTGCACAGGCAGGTAGGAAACTTTAATGAAAAAAGACAGTATGTCTCTTCTTCAATAAAAATCCTGCCTGTTCCCCAATTTTTTTTTTTCTTCTTGCTTCACTTTAACTAAAGGAAAAACATGAGGCGCAATAAACATGAGGCGCAAAACCCCTAGTGCAATATCCAAGGTTTATTAAAAGTAAAGATGATGCAAACATACAAACATGGCATAAATGTAAAGCTTAGTAGAATGGTAGAGATGGCCATAACAGTGGCAGGGTGTCTGACTGTCAGTATGGTTGACTTGCTGACACGTTTCGGGAACAAGTCCCTTTCCTCAGACCAGCTCTGAGGACTTCCCCTGGCTTTCCTTTGGCATTTGATCCCTGGAGCGCTGGAGAGTTTATTCTAAAGAAAAAACATGATCTTTGGTTTCCCGTAGGGCAAGGCACTGCTATCCTCCCTCCTCCATGAACCAAACATGTTCACCAACTGTGCAATGCTTGTACAAAATCTAGGTTGTTCAGCCACTAGGTTTAAGCACACAAGATCAATTGTCATTGGATATTCGTGGATAGCTGGAGGTACTGTAGCTTTGCCTCGATCACTTATGATTGGCCCAGTACAGGTGACAGCTTCCTGGTGGGTTCTGGATACAGACTGGGAACTGAACACGCTTGATCTCATCCACAGTTAAGATGCTCTTTATTTCTGACGTGTAGCAAAAGTGTTTCCATTCAGCTGCATCCATCCAACAGCCTGTACAAATCAATAGCAGGCTAACAGGTGCCGCAGATGTTCACATGTAACTGCACATCAAGCGAAACACTGATTCTTGATGGTATTTGACCCTTATCAGCCTCCTGAATGAGCCCTTAGGCCTTTTTTAAGGTCTGTGAATAGCCCCCCCTAATGACTCTTTCTAGAAATCTGCCCAGGGGCACAGCCCCCCCCCCCCCCCACCCCCTTGCACAAGGGGCTCCTCCTGTAGGACCAAACCCAGGAACACTGCACCCTGCTGGTTAGGCCTCAGACTATTTATGGGCTCTTTCACCACCTACTGGGCACACTGTGCAGGAATTGGCTGGAGATCCATAAATATTCAGGGTACTCACTCTCTTTGCTTTCTCCCACTATGATTGTAGAATCCTTTAGAAGCTGGGGAAATAATCAAAGCAGCAGACTGTGAGACACTTAGCTGCCCTAATAAACAACCCCTGCTCCTCTGAATACAGTGGAAACAACTAACTTTACCTAGCAGCCTACTCTACAAAAGGAGAGTGCTACACAAGAGCAACTCTATAGGATGCCTCAAGAGAATAGGAGCCACCCGGAATAGGAAACCTGGGGCAGTGGTCATGGCACCAACCTAAACTGGTACATAGGCAAGGATTAAAGGATGAAGAAGCTGCACCCTCAACCAGGGATAAAATCAGCTTCTGAAACGGAGGGTTTAATATCACTTTAAATGAAAAAGTATAAAGAAGGGGGTTAGCTACGATCACCAGAGATTTAGGATATTATTCAAGTACTCTTCACACTCCACATTGCACAGTTACATTGCTCTGCCCCAGCAGGGACTTCCAAACTACATCTCCGAGAAGACTAAGGTGGGAAACAGCTGGCTTTAGAGGAAATTAAAACGCAGAAACCATCTGGCAAGTTTTATTCTGATTACTGTTCAGTCAGGTCTAATGAATTTTGAGACTTTGTAAATAAACAGACTGCATGCATGATAATTTAAAGTTCAGTTTGATTTCCCTTTTAATCAACCGCATAAACTGTGTCAATCCATCATAATCAAAGATGGTCGTCATAAATCCTACCGATTAGCGTCTCTTATTTGCTTCTATTTGGTCACTTAAATATACAGATGAAAGTTTTTTTTGTTATATCTGTCTTATAAGATAGAAAAGTACCAGTTGACCATCCTGGAAATCTTGGGAGCTGATAACTTGTGTTTTCTGCCTGTCTTGACTGTTGTCAATGACTGTTCTCTGGGGACTACACAATTGCACCCCTCTATGTTAGGATAGTAGAGGAATGCCAGACTTCTGTGGTCATATCTCGTTTCAGTTGTGTAGATGCAGATGGGTGAGTGCGTATTGTCACCCTGGGACAGGAAGTGTTACTGGCAGCATCCCCATATGAAAATAAAGGGAAAAAAGACTGGAAAAGAAAGTTAATAGTATTTCCCTGCCTCTTCCTCCCAGGAATTCCCGAGTCTCATCCCGTATGTTCCTCACTGGTCACTAACTCGTGCCACCACTTAAAAAAAAAAAAAAAAAAACATCCGGTATGGTGCATGCACAAGATGAGGCACATGATGTCATCAGTAGGAAGGTAAGGAATGGCATCTCTCTGACAGCACTGATGATGATGCTTTCCCAGGGGGCATCTGTGTCACTATTCCCTTCAGGGAAACTAGGAAGTGGACACAAAAAAAGGTAAGTAAAAAAAACAGGTGTAAAGAGCCATGATTTTGGAGATCATATGGGTCCCCAAACTGATGTGGATTAGGTTCTGTTGCAAGAAGTCCCAGTCGACTCTGTTGAATGCCTTTATAGCAGGGGTGGACTGACCATTTGGAAACTAGGGCACTGCCCGAGGGCCCGGGGTCAGTAGGGGGCCCCATGAGATGCCCCTGGTACCTTTTTCATAGGCTTTTTTGAGTTTGGGCAAGGACACAGGGGCCCCATGATCCCCTATTGCCTGGGGGCCCCATGAGTTGTCAGTCCGCCCCTGCTTTATAGCATCTACTGACAGTAAAGTCCAAGTGTGACATTCTGTTTTGGGGCACAGGAAAATAGATGAATAGTATTGTTGGTATTGTCTGGGCCGTGGATAAAGGGGTACCACCAGTCCTCCTGTACGGGGCCCAGGCCAGCAGGGGGGCTCGGCAGCTGAGTGAATTGGATGTGGGCAGAGAGGAATGATTAGCATGGCGGGGGGGGGGCAATTACTGGAACCGATCCCCTGTATGGCTCTCTCTCTGCAGCAGCTGAAAACTGGCTTCTCCTCCTCTCCCTCACACTGGATTTCAGCTGCTGCAGAGAGAGTCATACAAGGAATCGGTTCTAGTAATTGCCCCCCTACCACACCCAGCTCCCTCCCTGTGCACCACACATTTCCCCCTGCTGCCCAGGCCCCTCTGTGTGCCCCCACCCCCACAGTGCTACTGGCTTCCCTCCTCTCCTTCTCACCAGGTGCTGCAAGCACACCATAGGATCCTTAAAGATGGAGAGTAGAAGAAGGGTCTGGTAAAATATGTCACATTTATCAGTCCTTTCCTTCCCTGAATGAACACAGTTAATGATCGGTACCTATCATTCACTGTGTTCGTTCATAACAAAACCATAGTAAACTATGTACTTTTTCTTTCGGAGGGGGGGGGGTCCTCTCAGGTTGGCTGTATGGGGCCCCGTGGTTTCTAACAGCAGCCCTGGGTACTGCCACATGCTTCTTTATGTACTAGAGACCCTACTTGGTCTGTGTGTATTATAGAAAGGAGGAGATGTTGAAAGCAGTTAGAAATATATTTGGAACACGGGCAGACTGACCATTTGGAAACTCGGGCACTGCCTGAGGGCCCAGGGTCAGTAGGGGGCCCCATGAGATGCCCTTGGTACCTTTTTCATAGGCTTTTTTGAGTTTGGGCAAGGACACAGGGGCCCCATGATCCCCTATTGCCCGGAGGCCCCATGAGTTATCAGTCCACCCCTGATTTGGAATATAGTTTTAAAATCTCTATTTACAACAGAAATTGGTTTGTAATGTCTTAGAACAGTCTTTTATTTGCCCTATTTAAAGATCACAGAAATATGCCTCTAAGGTCTGAGTTCGGAGTGGGTTTTCGAGAGAAATGGCATTGAAAGATTGTAACAGCAGGGGTGTTAGTTCCTGCTTAAAGATTTTTAGAAAACCTATTTATAAAAACCATCTGGGCCAAGTGCCATTAGAGGCTTGTTTAATAGTTAAAGAAATTTCTTCAGAAATAGGGGAGTTTAGGGAATCTAAAACAACTGTTAGAGATGAAAGGTTAGTGTCTGCAAAATATTACATTTCGGGAATCTTCTCCTTTTACAGACTGTGAATCAAATGCATGGGTTAGATTGTATAGGTTGGAGTAAAAGTCCTGGGAAACAGGAAGAATATATAAATTTCTTAAGGACAAATCCATAAGAGGAGGAATGTAGAGAAAGGTAGTTGTGTTGTTGCATGCAGGGTTGGAGCAAGCATGGTAAAGAAGTGCCACTTAATCATATTCATAGGAAGAATTTGGAAAACAATCTGTATAGCAGAAGATGTTTTGGACTAGGAATTGTAATAGTTTATGCCTGGTTTCTGAAAGGTCTACAAGAAGTGAATTAAAAAAGATCTAGGTCCTCTATTTTGCAAAGAATGCCAGGTTCAGCAGAGCATATTTTTATATATTTTGAAATGAATATGCCCTGTGGAACACACTTCAAGGCCTCCAGTTATATGGAGAAAAGAGTTGGATCAGTAGAATGATGCTCTGAAAATTCTTTGATGGCCTTCTTGACCATTATGAACATGAAACTGTAAAAGCAAATCACTAAGCTAGTAAGATAGTACCAGAATGGACCAAAATAGTAGTTTCAGTGTAATGGAAAAACAAGTATTAAAATAACCTACAATACGTTTCCCCCAAACATCCTGTGAAAGGACTGAGTCTGGCTTGACACTCTAAGTGCTGAAACCATTAGTAGAAGTCATGTGTCTGACAGGCATCATTGGACTCCCTTATTTTGGTGAGGAGGTACAGACTGCCATTTTTCTCTGGTTTTGTTGCTCAAAAGATAAGAAATGAGTGGCGAATCAGGAAGTTGAATCTAGGGGAACTGAAAAGTCCCTAACAAATTTGATTTCTCTCTTTGTGATCTGAACATTACTGATTTCCCATCCTTAAATGCAGTCATTATTAAAAGAACACCAAAATTTTATACAAATTTGGGTACCCATTTCAAACTCCGATAGGGGTCTCAGAGATCATTGTAGCTGTAGGGTTCTTAGTGACAGGTTGGGAAGTAACTGTATGGGCATGCCATTGAAGTAAACCTCATCTGAAGCTCTAGCTGCTTCTTAAAAATACAAATAATTGTTTTCTTCTCTCTTCAAAAAATTATGAGCCCCTCAACTTCTGATAACCTCATATATGGGTTCCATACACCAGTAATGGTGGGGAAACTGCACTGGATAAAAACATGGAGGACAAACCAACACAAATAGCTCCATCAACCAGTGAGCCTAAAAAAAAAACAACACAGACTGGACTATGGAAGCCAAGAAAACACAGGTCACCCCACCAACTATCGACTATGAGAAAATGGTAATAGCTGCAACCATGGAGGACAAGAGGACTGAACAGTCCACAACTATGGAGCTACATGCTGAAGTGAATATTTTGAAAAGGGAAAAGCTCTGCTTTAAGAATTTTTTTTTTTCTTTACAGAAACGAACAGTTTTACTGACGTCTACTGAGATAAATATGCAAATCTGTCATTTCCAGGAAATATATTTTTCATCTCTGCTACAGTCAGTCTGGGGAGTTCTGATCTGGAATGTTGTAGGGAGAAGCTCTAATGATTTAATATTATGAACTTTCATCCAACATCTCAATGGCAGCTATCAGCACCAAACAGACGGGTGACCCTCCTGACCACAGACCTGCACTGTTGTGCCTTGGAGCCGTACAATGAATCACTGGAGGTTCTACTGAAAGGTTTACAGAGCATAGGACAGAAATAAATTCACAGATTACATAGCAACCAGCCTATGGTTATCTTCTGGTTGTCAGGGAAACAAGTGAAGTGTATGACAAAAGGCAGATTAATGCCGCTGCCGCAGCAATATATAATCTTCGTATGGTAGCAGATGAGTTGACTGGGTCACCTACTAATAAGAAACATGCTTATTGCCAATCAAGATTTGTCTGAGAAGGGTGAAGGTCATTCAGCAATCAAACTGGAACACTTAAAGAGTAACTCTACTTTCATTGATAAAACACAACCCACTCTGCATGATCAATATACTGTACGTGGTAAGGACTTTAACAAACTTTGTTGCAGATCTCAACTGGTTTCTGCTCTGAAGGAATAGCTCTTCGTTACGCAATGTCCTGTGCACAGTGATTCCAACTGGGAGTGACTAATTCATTATAATCAGCATGTGCACTTTGAGTGTTCTGATGAGAAACGTTGCAGTGTCTGCATCCTTTTGGAAATCATTAACACTTAGGGGATGTCTCACCAAAAAAAAAAAAATTTTTGTTGCAGAGGATGCCTAAAATCTAACTTGTATCTTAGTGTGGAGTTCTTCTCACAGGCAGGAAATTACATATTCAGTACAGAACACCTTTCAAAAAATGTAATTTCTGCTGGCTTACAGAACACCTCCAAGTTGCCATATTGCATTGAATTTTACAGATAATTCTTTTTGTTTATAATACAATTTCTTTTTTTTTTTTGCTATAGTCCACTCCACACTACTCGCTCTCTTGGCTGCTTGAGCAGGAGTTGTCCCTTTTCTCTCTTTCCAGTTCATACTGGTTTGTTGTCCTACTGGATGCCTTTCCTCAGGCGGATCTGTTTTTCTTCTTTTAGCTTTTCTTCCTTTTCTCTTTTCTCCCCCCGCCCCCTTTTTTTCCCTCCTATTTTTGTTTTTCTGGGTGATTATTTGCTGGAGGGGAGGGGAGGGGTGTGGATTGCTGTCGTGGGTTCCATCACTCCATTTTTTTGGGGGCTGATCTCTATTGTTATGTATGGAACATCATCCCACAGGGTTTTTGCTTCTTTCGCGGTTCTTTTAGTCTTTATTATCCGTACCCTTCGGGGGCCTGATATTGTTTGTACAGCAAGACTATTTGCACTTTACCCATTGGCAGGGGCGGACTGACCATTTGGAAACTCGGGCACTTCCCGTGGGCCCGGGGTCAGTAGGGGGCCCCATGAAATGCCCCTTGTACCTTTTTCATAGGCTTTTTTGAGTTTGGGCAAGGACACAGGGGCCCCATGATCCCCTATTGCCCGGGCGCCCCATGAGTTCTTAGTCTGTCCCTGCCCATTGGTCTGCAATTGGAGATACTCAGTGCCAGACTGTAATTGTTTATTATTGCACCTTGTTCTATTGCCTACCCTTTTTCTCCCCCCCCCTTCCTTCGCCCTTATTTTGTCTTTGTTGTTGTTGTTGTTTTCCCTTCCAATAGTATTGTTTATGTGCAAGTTTTGTTTTTTTCTGTACATTTTCTGAAAAGCTTTAATAAACTGAGATTGATCATAAATCTGAAGTCCATGTTTCCAGTCACTTTAAATATTTGGTCCAAACAAACTATCTCCATTACTAAGGTATTCGACCTCTGTAGCATCAGCTACATACAGTGTACAGCTCTGTGTTCCGGCAGTGGCACGGGGACTTCCCATCTTTGGCTGGAACAAAATCATATGGGTCTCAGCCATTCAGAGGAAGCCTCGTATTTTAGCAATGAATACAGGGCTTAATCTGATTGGCCAAGGTGGAGATTGTGATAGTTAGTGATGGCTTGGTTCACAGCCATTAAAAGGCACACAAGCAGCTCAAAGACTATTTCTGAAGTGCCGTTTATAAACAGAACTCTAAAAATAGACGCCAAGCTTCCCATTCTTTTTTTTTTCACAATATAGTGGTAGGTATAAGGCTAAACATACAAACCTAAAAAAAAAAATGAACACAAAACTGGACAAAACCATTACAGTGTCAGGACAGATGCTCATTATGCTGCACTGATAACTACTGAACCCATTCCCAACCACAATCTGTAGATTAAAGATCTCCTGTACAATGCCCTATGTAGAGGAATTGTTATTCTTCATATGAGTTTGACTGCTAGAAGCATGAGACTAGCTGTGAGACTGCCACTGACAGCTGTGGGTTTCCATTGGTGATTGGGGACTAATCTGAGTGGTTGATGATCATGTGATCACTATGTCAGCTATGGCACACTGCTCACATAGCTTTGTTAGCTAACAGCTTTCATCTTCTTGGTAAACAGCAAGTGAGTGTACAGAGAAAGAAATACTGTTTTAAAGAGGCAGTAGAATAAAAAAAAAAAAAAAAAAAAAAAAAATCAGTTTTGTCTATATTCACCTGATGATAACATTGAGGAAAATAATTTTGACAGCCATAAAAGGCTCTTCTTGGCACAATGTTTTAATAACTACCCTTCCAAAATCTATTATTAGAGACTAACAAATGGACATAAAAAAATACAAGTTTTTTTTAAAATGTAAGAAAAACCTTTTCCATCCACCCTATAATAATTGATTTGGGGGGTGAGTATCAAAACATTGTACAAAGAATATATTCAGGATTTATTTCAGGATATTATATATATATATATATATATATATATATATACACACACTATATTGGCAAAAGTATTGGAACGCCTGCCTTTACACACACATGAACTTTAATGGCATCCCAGTCTTAGTCCTTTGCAGCTATAACAGTTTCAACTCTTCTGGGAAGGCCGTCCACAAGGATTAGGAGGGTGTCTATGGGAAGGTTTGACCATTCTTCCAGAAGCACATTTGTGAGGTCAGGCACTGATGTCGGATGAGAAGGCCTGGATCGCAGTCTCCTCTCTTATTCATCCCAAAGGTGTTCTATCAGGTTGAGGTCAGGACTCTGTGCAGGCCCGTCAAGTTCCTCCACCCCAAACTCACTCCTCCATGTCTTTATGGACCTTGCTTTGTGCACTGGTGCGCAGTCATGTTGGAGCAGGAAGGGGCTATCCCCAAACTCTTCCCACAAAGTTGGGAGCATGAAATTGTCCAAAATGTCTTGGTATGCTGACACCTTAAGAATTCCCTTCAATGGAACTAAACGGCCAAGCCCAACCCCTGAAAACAACCCCACACCATAATCCCCCCTCCACCAAACTTTACACTTGGCACATAACAGTCAGGCAAGTACCGTTGTCCTGGCAACCGCCAAACCCAGACACGTCCATCAGATTGCCAGACAGAGAAGCATGATTGGTCATTCCAGAGAACACATCTCCACTGCTCTAGAGTCCAGTGGCGGCGTGCTTTACACCACTGCATCTGACACTTTGCATTGCACTTGGTGATGTAAGGCTTGGATGCAGCTGCTCGGCCATGGAAACCCATTCCATGAAGCTCTCTAGGCACTGTTGTTGTGCTAATCTGAAGGCCACACCAAGTTTGGAGGTCTTTAGCTATTGACTCTGCAGACAGTTGGCAACTACTGCGCACTGTGCGCTTCAGCATGCGCTGACCCCGCTCTGTCATTTTACGTGGCCTACCACTTGGTGCTCGGTTGCTTCCACTTTGTTATAATCCCACTAACAGTTGACCGTGGAATATTTAGTAGCCAGGAAATGTCACGGATGGACTTATTGCACAGGTGACAACCTATCATGGGACCACGCTTGGATTCACTGAGCTCCTGAGAGCGACCCATTCTTTCACAAATGTTTGTAGAAGCAGTCTGCATGCCTGGGTAGTGTATATATATACATATATTTTAGAATAGACTTTCATTGATTGAGATTGATTAAGATATTATATTGTTAAACTGTCTTTAAAAAGCTTAATTATTTTGATATACACAGTATAGTATAGTGAGACCCATACTGGGGAGAAAACCCATTCCAGCAAATTTTGTGATGTTCTGATGACTGAGAATGTGTTTCTGTTTTACTTTGTATGATGGTGAAATCTGTATATATTTATATTTCAGAGTCTGCCATGATGCTGGTCCCCTTGTTGGTGGGTGCAGCATGGTACGGTGGAAGTAATCTCTCCAGTCCAGTTGCAAATAATAAATCTTGTACTGAAGTAACAGCTCAAATTCACAGACATCCCAGCGGGAAGACACCTGACTGGGATCACTCACGGTTCTGTGTGGAAATGTAAAGTGGAGCAGGTTCTGATGTGCTGACAGCGTGTGCCTCAGAGCAGGGCTGTCTGAATGCATGGGCACCGCCCAGGGGCCCCATGATAATCTTGCATTACATCATACTTGCCAACTGTCCTGGATTGGCCGAGATAGTCACAATTTTTACTAAGATGGCCCGGACAACATCCCAGAACTTTTACTGTGCCCTCCTGATCCCAGTATTGTGCCCTCCTGACTCCCCCTGTATTGTGCCCTCCTGACTCCCCCTGTACTGTGCCCTCCTGACTCCCCCTGTACTGTGCCCTCCTGACTCCCCCTGTACTGTGCCCTCCTGACTCCCCCTGTACTGTGCCCTCCTGACTCCCCCTGTACTGTGCCCTCCTGACTCCCCCTGTACTGTGCCCTCCTGACTCCCCCTGTACTGTGCCCTCCTGACTCCTCCTGTACTGTGCCCTCCTGACTCCCCCTGTACTGTGCCCTCCTGACTCCCCCTGTACTGTGCCCTCCTGACTCCCCCTGTACTGTGCCCTCCTGACTCCCCCTGTACTGTGCCCTCCTGATCCCAGTATTGTGCCCTCCTGACTCCCCCTGTACTGTGCCCTCCTGACTCCCCCTGTACTGTGCCCTCCTGACTCCTCCTGTACTGTGCCCTCCTGACTCCCCCTGTACTGTGCCCTTTGTGTAAATTAATCTTTGATTTATATCATTTTTTTATTATTAAAATAGATTTTTTTTAAAGTGCTAAAAAATATATGTTTAATTCTGTCAACTATTTACACTTTTTTTCTTGAGAGTAGGTGCATAATTTGTGGCAGGCTGGAGGGGCCCCAGTGCATTACTTTGCCCAGGGGCCCATGATGCTATTAAGACAGCCCTGCCTCAGAGGGTGGAATGCAGCCTGGTGAGTCTGTGCCCAAATAGAAAAGATTCCTGGAGAGGATAGCATGTCCCTGTCCTATCCCTACTCGTCCGGAACCTTTCTCTATCGCTATTCACTTTTCCTGACAGATGGGTAACCTGTCCCTACACTGACCACTCGCAAAATGCGTGCCAACCCCAGGAGCTAGTGTCTTAAATAGCCTCTGCCTGACCCAAGATAGCCGGCAGAATAACATGGGGCAGTGATATCCAAACGCATCGCTTCCCAGTGACCCAGGAAACCATAGAGTACATTCCTCCTGACTTCCTCTCCCTCTGCAATGGCGCTGCAAATTGAGCGCCACCTGCAGTGGAGGAAAGAGATTGCACTCTGCCTACACTTAGTGCCTAATATTATCTTTAATGGTGGTCTTGTTATGTGTATACTTCATCATCAGTTCTTCTGTTTTTAACTGTTTCCCTTGACTATGTTTCTTTTATTAAAGCAGAGCTCCACCCAAAAGGGGAAGTTCCGCTTTAAGCACTGCTCCCCCGCTCCCCATTAAGGATTGGTACCTTTGGGGGGCGGGGGGGGGGGGGGGGAGGGTACCCGAATTTGACAGGTACCCACTCCCATTTCTGGTCCGATCGCTTAGGTGTTCGGAAATGGAAGGTGTCCTCCCCCCCCCTCCTGTAGTCTTTTGGGACACGTGACAGGTCCCAGAAGACTACAGGACCATACATGAAGTGCAGCGCTTCTCGCGCATGCGCAGTGGGTACCCGGCTGTGAAGCCACAAGCTATCACAGCCAGATGCCCACACTGAATATGCCAGCCTCCAGGAATCCAGGACGGCCGGTGAAATGGGCTGCGGGGGACACACCACGGGACCGAGGGACAGGTAAGTGGCTGTTTTTTTAAAAGTCAGCAGCTACAGTTTTTGTTTTTACTTTTTAATGATATACAGTATTTTTGTCTACGTGGTTAACTTTTGGTGCCTGAAAAATCCCATCCAGCAATATTTTAGTCCCTCTGATCCTGGGGATTAAAAGAAGGCATGGATTTTGATTTTCCATTTGGTAAGAGCAAGGTTATGTAGTGCTAACCCCACAGAAGCTGCTAGGACTTAAAAGGTTCTTTC